AGTGTCTTTTATCTTCTAAGTTCCTGGTTTTGTACTTTAGGTGTTGCTTGTTGTTTTATGTTTGTTATTTTTGTGTACTTTGTAGACTACATGATTCTAAGTTTTGTTAGTAATGAATACTTTCTCTAAGTATGTTTATTTTATGTGTTTTTTTGGCTACACTTCACAACAGTTCCATGGGTTCTATGGGCTTTTTATATGGATTTCTGTCTTCAGTTCTGCTCCCCCTTTATCCACTTCCCAGATCTCCTTTTCTCCTCCTCTGGATCGTACCTCGTCTAGCCATCTTGCCGAGTCTGTTCGAGACCTCCTACACAAAAACATTGGAGTTTGGAGACCCATTATAGATCTATCCTTGCTGTATATCTGTCCAGAAACACCTCGCTTCACTATGGAGTCTTACTTCACTTCGGTCTTCCTTCAGCCCTATATGTGTTTTGTCAAGCAGTAAGCTCTTCCGCATGTCATGTTCACTCTGTGGGTCTTCAGACTCACCATTACATGAATGACTGGCTAGTGCTCGCCTCTTCCCGTGCCCAGTCTGTCACTCACATCCACTTACTTCTTTGAGAAGTTGCTCAGGTGGGGTTTCTCATAAAGTTGGAGAAGTCCTTTGACTACCCCCATGCAGTATCTTATTCATTGAGTGGTTCTCTTTAATTCCCATCTTGGTTGGGCCCAGCCTTTTCCACTTTGGCTCTGGGATATGGAATGGGCAGTCACGAAGGCCCTACCTTCTCCTCTTCTCTCTACGTGAGAGGTTTTATCTCTTTTCTATATTCAAGGTGCTTTCCCTGGATGTTTTTGCCAAGGTGACTGTACATGGCATAATCCAATGTATCCCAAAGCACTTCCCCTGGATGTTTGTTGCCCAGGCGGACCAAACTTGGCTTATTCATATACAGTTTATGGTCCTTTAGTACTAGCCATGTATATTTATATCTAATTATCAGGCACCTTACTATAACTAACTATCACTATGTCCCATGATAATGCTTGCTACATATGTGGACAAATTATGCACTATCTGTTGACAATGGGCTGATTCAGTATTACCAGACATGGTTTCTTGCCAATTACATTCTGCTCTGTATGTATTACTGTGTTCATTACTTGACAAAGAGCATATCTGTTCCAGAAGTAGTGCTATACCCCACAGGTGTGCCTTTTCTTATAATGGCACACCTGTTCTTTGAAGGCGGTTGCTCTCTGCTTGTTTGATTGCTTTGCACTTTCACTGGCCCCTCCACCTTTGCAATGTGGGAGGCTAGCTTTGAGTGAATGGAGGTAGTACCATTTTTGAAGTTAACATTTTTTTACACTAAATATATATTTCCAATAAGTACGTACCTTCTCTCAACCACTGATATGACAGTGTTTCTAGTTCCTACCAATTCTTGAAAGTGAGGATTGTGCTAGAATAATAGAGAGAGCTACATGTGCTAGTATAGATGGCGCAGCATGATTGGTGAAGGGTAGTCACATGATCAGCATGTGTTGTGAAATGGTGCAAAAATATAGGGGGTATAAAAAAAACTGGTGCGTTGTTAGCAACAAAATTTTAGCAATGCTTAGAGGGCAAACCAAGGGTGAGATAGATTTTGGTGAAAGGAGGAAAGTACCTATCGAAAATACATTTTCAGTGTAAGAAAATATTAACTTTTACCCAGAACAAATCAAATATAATAAGTGGACCTCTACCCAGAACTAATCAAATATATAATAAGTGGACTTTACCCATAAGAAATCAAACAGAATACATGAACTGTGGACAAAAAAGGGCTATGTGGTCCATCAAAGCAATCTCTGCACATCCACCCTATGAGAAAAGTATAGAATTAAATTCACCATTTATTTTTTAAGAAATTATCCTATTAACCCTTTCCATACAGGTAGGGTTCTGAGGACATGTCATTATGTTTTGTAAACTTTGAAATTTTATTAAACTACTATTTTATGAATGTATGTCAATAAATGTGCTATCAAATTGTAATTCCTAATTAAAATTTTAGTGTTATACATTATCTAATTTCTTAATTCAAAGAAAAGCTAAATATAAATTTTTGTGTGCCACGTGTTACATCGTCTTCTGCTTTTGATCAGATTACTTTTTGATGATGCCCATAATGCAATATCTATAGTTTTTAATGAATTGGAAACTCAAATTACTGATATTGACAAGCTAGAATATAAAATAAGTACCTTCTACCTTTTCTAATTGCTGAGATATGATATTTAGCGAACTCACCACAGTGGCTCCACCCACCACTTCATCTTTTCAAAATACTTGTTTACCTACACCTACTTCCCTTAAATACATGTTTATAATCAATTGAAAGTCCTCATTTTGAACTACATAATCCTGTAAGTCTTCCTAAAATACTTATGCTGTTAAAACCATTATAACCATTGGGGAGTTTAAAGAGTGGTGATCAAGGGAATATACTGATCATAAATGAGATTTTTTAGACCCAACTACGGCTTACTTGGGAAGCCTGATAAATTACAGTGGATTTATGTCTATTGGCATAGTAATTTATAATATTTTGTTATTCCAAAATGCATATATAAAGTCTACAAAAATTAATTTTTATATCCTCCACATGCAAAATTCTAGAAGACTTAGCAAGTGCAATGCACGAGTACAAAATCTTCATAATGTCATAAGTAGTAGTGATCCTTGTTTTCTATATATATTTCTGACATTTAAGAATTTACTTGTAAACAGTAATAATGTGTATATATAGTAATGGCTGGAGACGGCTTGCATGGGTAATGAAGAAAAACTTTAATATAAGTTTAACATAACAGCAAATGTACAACGTTTCGACAAGGTTTTGTCATCATCATCATATGTAATGTGTGTTAACTAAAATATAACTGAACTTTATAAAATACTGGTTTGCTATTACTAAAACTAAGAAGAGTGAGAGATTTGTACTTTGTAGGCCAGTTTTATGCTTTGTGAGCTGCACGTTTGCTGCATGATTTACAACTCGTGTGACAAAATTATTAGTTAGACATGATTCAAACATAAATAAAACAACAAAATTATTAAATATAAATAGATGTATACTATTCCGAGCTTTAAACTATTTAGAGTAAACAATTGTGTTTTCCTGTTACAATTTGAAGTCATCCTACAAAGAAAAAAAAGGGATAATTTAGATTTATTTTCTAATTTTTTTATAGTGGTTACATGGTTGGTTAAATCAACTAATCCTGTATAGAGTTAGAGTAGGGAAAATAACAGATAAAATATAAAATTTTTCTGAAAAAGAAATTTGATATTTATTTAGGAGATATTAGAGATTATGTAAATGAAATTTGACAAATTTTAGATGAAAGGTATTTTTAATCTGAAAATCAAAATTACTTTTCATGTTGAATAGTGAATATTCCAAAATCTTTCTTTAAAATACTTATCTAAAAATCTGATTTTTTGTGTACAAAAGCCTTGTAATGTTCACTGATAGTCTGAAATTTTGTTAAGTTATGATTATATTATCTAAAGTTATTGTAGGACTAATCTCATGGTTACTTTGGTGTATATGTGGTAGGTGCAATGTGCCTGCCCTTAGTGAATGTGTTAAAGTGCTAGTCTCTGATACTCCTGACTTTTTGCTACTGTTGGCTTTCATTTATGACATATTTCAATAAATGATCTTTTAAGGCATCTTTTATGAGATTCTATAAAATTTTTCCCACTACAGAAATAATCCTAACTAGTAAATGATTTTCAGGGTAGCTTATCACCCACCCCCTTTAAAAATAAAAGTAATGTTAGCAAATGTCCAATCCTCAGGCACTTGCCAACTGTCTTTTGATGTACCAAAAATGAAATTGATAGGCTTACATATCTGATCTTTGAACTCCCTTAAAACCATGGAGGAAAACCTTGTCTGGCCCTGTGCTTTATTCATTCATTTTAATCTTATTTTTTGTTTTCTATTTACCACCAAAGAATTAATATCTATATGTTTCGGGTCAATTCCAGTATTTCCCATAGAATGTTCAATATCAGAAATATTGCTAATATAATCTCTTTAATAAAAACAAAAGAGAAGAAGAATATTTTAAAGCTTGGTCATTTCATAGTCTTCAACAAAAATTGTGACATCAGGATCCTTTAAGGACCTGATCCCCATTTTAACATTATTTCACTTGTCTAAAAAAAAAAAAAATATTTCAGTTAGTTTCAACATTGTCAGTCAATTGTATCTCAAATCTTTTGTATCTGGTAACGGTTAGGTAACATGAGACTTGTTGATGTTTAGTTCATTATAATGTGTGTAAAATCAATATTGTTTTCAAAAGTAATTATGTCTGAGTCTTCTGAATTTTTACCTTAGTTTAATGTATTTAAAGGGCATGGTATATTTTGTGTCATATTTAACATTATTCATATATGTATTTAGAACCAAATCTTCTGGTTAGGGCACTCGACTCGTAATCTGCGGGTTGCGGGTTCGAATCTCTGTCACACCAAACATGCTCGCCCTTTCAATGGTGGGCATATTATAATGGGATGGTCAATCCCACTATTCGTTTGTAAAAGAGTAGCCCAAAAGTTGGTGGTAGATGGTGATGACATTGCTAAATTAGGGATGGCTAGTGCAGATAACCCTCGTGTAGCTTTGTGCAAAATTCATAACAAATCTTCTGAAATTTTCAATTTTGTTGTATTAAAAGGGCATAATATTTTGTATCACTTTTAACCTAATTCATATCTGTAATTGTAACCAAATCTTGAATTTCTTCAAAGTTCATTGTATTAAAAGAAAGTGATGTTTTATATCACCTTTAATGTTATTCTGTTATCTGTGATTTGTGGTTATGACTGAAGCTATAAACTAGTTACAGAGTTTATGATAATATCTCAAAATATGGTTAAATATTTCTTGCATGTTACCTAACCGTAAGCAGTTAGATTAATGGGGGGAGGGGAATAATTACTCAGCATTTAAACCTTGTTTATATAATATTTAATTTTCTTTCAGATTGTGAAATGAACATTCACAAATTATGTGTGAAAGTAGTGGAAGAGAAATGTGTAGGTACCTTTCGGAACAAGAAAGACAAGAACAGAAACAGAATGTCTGGTATAATGGAAAACATTATAGGGAAAAATCGGAAACAGGGTTAGTTTAATACATTAAGGAAGTAACCACACATGCTACTATCAGAAAATTATTACATTTTACCACCACAAGTTCTTGTGAAGTATATTTAAGATTTTGGTCAGCATGACACTGGTAGTAATTTGTTTGTTATTGTATGTTAATTCATGAGACACCGTATTAGTGGTGACCCTCCTAATGCCAAAGTATCAAACACATGTATATGGCCAAAATGGTTTATTTAAGCTGATCTTGATTGATTTTGAAGTCATTTATAATTAATTATTATTGTTTGTGTGCAACATGGCTAAATTAGCTTACTTATTTTCCACCTACTAAGCCAGACATATCATTAATATAACAAAAATCATCACTATAAAATTAATAATTTGATTTTTGTAATAAATATTATTATTAATATTTTTGTACAACACAACTACCAACCCTGATTTTTGTGTAATTCCTATACCAAATAGATAAAATCAGTTACTCTGTTGGAGAAATAGAAGTACTAATTCACAAATTTATTAATGTTTTTGTTCTTGTGTATACTGTACGATTGAAAAAAAAGAGAGGTAATACTTTTATTTATTAACTTCTACGTGCTTCAATTTAATTATAAAAAAACCAATCTAAAGGTAGGCCAATGAATTTTACTCGTACACATGTATGAAACCTTTTCTGTATGTGAATAATGAATGTTGTTAAAATAGATTTGTTTGTGTAATTCTGTGAGGATTTTATAAATGGAAATAAGTAGTATTTTATTATAATAAAATATAAAGGTTGATTTGGTTTTTGAATTAAAATTTGTAATATTTTTCATTTAATGAAATTGATCTCACCTGATAACCAAACAAAAAGACTGACATAACTGTTCTTCCAATACGCATACAAGTCAGCAGAATGCTTGCTTCCAAGATTGTCTTCTGCTGGAAAAATGTAATAACAGAAAACAAGTAATGCATCTTTTTTTCATGTAATAGAAATAATTTATTACTAAAAAAAAATCTTAAGTTAAAAACAAAAGTTGTTAGATTTTTTTGAATTTTGATCATGTGGCAAAGTGTAGGAGATGATAAATGTTACGATACTACTGTCCAGTGTTCAGCCACTAGACAGGAAAGAGTTGTCCTTCCTAAGTTTTATCATGGCAAAATGTAGAAGATAATAATGCTTTGATATTACTGGCAAGTGTTCAGCCATCATACAGGAAGGTCATTCTTCCATTTGAAACTTATATTTCGATTTCATAATTCAGTATTTTTTGGTGCGTGTGTTTTGTATATCAGACACGGTGGTGCAATATACAAAAAGTGATAACTGGTATTCTGCTTTTGGCTGGGCCTTCATAAGAGTTATAAATGTCTTAGAGAACATGTAAAAAACTGCTGTATTGTTTTTCTCAGAAAATGTGTATCCTGTAGATTCTTCAATAGCCATTTGTGTGTGTGTGTGCGCATGCATGAGGTGATAAAGTATTACTCTTTTCTATAGAAAGTGTTATTAATTCCTTTGAGTTAACTGCTTGAATTTTGATAAGTGAGTACTCGTATGTAGTTGTTTTTTCTGGAACTGCTTATCTCTTCCATTAATTGTTTTAAATTATTTTTGTGTTGATATATTAATTTGGATTTTGTTGTGTTTTTTTTTTTTTTCAACTAGTTGAACAATCTAAGGAATGTAATCTTCAAATTGATCCAGGACTTTCATATCTTTATGGTGCCAGCAGTGCAAGTCAAATTAATGAAGGTTAGTTTAGAATACTTGTATGTATTGCATTTTGTATAATTTTTTTTTCCATATAATTTATAAGAAATGTGAATAATCTGTCTAAATCATTTTTATAGAGGTTCAGAAATTAATACAAAAAAGTTCTTACAAATAGTTTTTGGAAAATTGGTAATGCATAATGGCAGATATAAAACTATTCTCTCATTTTGAAATCTATGACTTCTTTAGGAGAAAAGACTACAATACTGTCACAATCTGACCAGAGCTTAAACCAGTCTGAAGGAGGTAATGACGATTCAAAGACATTGTACAATAACAGTGGTTTAGGTATACAAGAAGGAGTTAGTGATGATTCAAAGATATACATTAACAAGGATTCAGATATCCAAGAAGAAGTTAGAGATGATTCCAAGCAATTGTACAATAACAGTGGTTCAAGTATCCAAGGGCCCAAAGAAAAGTCTGAGCTGTGAGTAGTTAGTAAATACATGCTAATAATCATAGTGGAACAGTAATCCCAATTCAGACATTTACTTAATAAGATTAGAGTAATTTGAGTTTTTTTTAAGATGATTTTATTGTATTTAATTAAAACTAAATACTTTTTTCCTTTATTGTATCTTTATTTTTTCAGAGTTAGTACCTTTTTTATTTATAGAGATATAAGAACAAATTATAAAGCTGTTTTTTGTATGGTTGTACTTGAGGTTGATATACTTAATAAAACAAGCATTATATTCAAATTATATTTTCTTTCTGTCAGATTCTGACATATAAACTACTTAAACTCTGTATTAATTGATTAGTCATAAACCCATGGCATTCTTGGTGTTAATTGACCAATGATAGACCTGTTAAAAATAACTTGGTCTTAAGTGACCATTTATAGACCCATTAAGAATAACTTTGCATTAACTGACCAGTCATAGGCCTATTAAGAATGACTTGGTGTTAAGTGGCCAAATGTAGGACTATTAATGTGAATTTGTTTATTAACTGATCAACAAGCATTAAAACTAAATACCATCTACCACTCTTCAGATTTGCTACAGGAATTTGTTGAATAGTCTCTGTGCTGGCTCATTTTGTGTGTTCCATGGTTGCTTTCCCTATGAGTATGTTTTATGTTTAAACTATAGTCAAGATATATAGCCACAGAAAGTGAAGTTTGTTTTTTACGTTTTGGTCTGGGTGAATATGAATGTACCTTAAGGTAAACATTAAATGTAACAAGAGATAAACTGGAAAGGTATAAATTCATTCATGAGAAAGTGACTAGAGAAACTTGAGAAGTCTTAATAGATTATTATCTCTAAGCTAGTAGTGATGTCCTTTTAAGGTTATGCAGTATTGTTCCAGTAGTTTATAAATGGTTTACAACTGAGAAAATAGTATTAAAGTATTTATGAAAAATTGTTTCAAAAATTAAGATTAGCTTAAAAACTGTGTAATAATAAATGCACCTGTTTACGGAAGAAAGTGTAGTATTTTTCAGCAGTTACTGATGCATTTTATTATAATTATTAGTGCTAGGGTATAAAGTGACTTGAATCCTAATTTGGCATCATCTGTTAAGTGGAGTGAAAAATATCCTTTGATAACAAACAGATTTTTGAACAACATTACATGATAAAATAACTTGTTGTTAGATAGGAGTGAATAAAATTCATTACTAGTGTGCTAGTAAAGTGTGAATTAACAATGTTGTTCAGCAGCATTAATTACAGTACAGAAGTGTTTCCTAACTCATTATTCATGAAATGAGTTTATTGAGAAGTTTCAGTGACTGCAAAATTTTCACCAGGAAATGTACATTAAGATGCACATATTTGTGTCCTGAGAACCTTTGATTAGTCAGTTTGTGCTCTGTTCTTACTTGAAGTGTAAGATTGAAACTACACTGAATAAATCTACAGGTGGCAATAATTAACTTGTCATGCTAGTATTCACCTGAGTATATATATATCCTCCACATGCAAAATTTTAAATGGCTTAACAACCTACGTCAAGCACAACCGAGAACAAAAGTCATGAGTAAAAGAGATAATTATTTCCTTTACTTCTTCATTTACTGTTTTATTTTTTAAGAAAAATAAGTTTAAGAAGTTATTTCAAAATAGCAATAATCTGTATACATATATAATGTATAATAATTGAAATGTGACTGTATTTTACAAAATACTAGTCTACTAAAATACGGCCACGACAGGTCAGTTTGTAAAGGCTAAATATCAGTTTTATGTTATTGATATGGTAACGTGAGTGCACGTGTGCCACATCATTGTAACTTCTGTATTGTTAACCAAGCATGGCTGAAAGGTCAATATAATAAAAATAATAAATATATATAAATGTATAATGTTATGAGAATTAAGCTATTTAGTCTAAACATTTATGTTTTCGTGTTATAATATGTAGTCATTCTAGAATGAAAAAAGCATAATTTATATGTATTTCCTAATTTTTTTTAACGTGGTTACGAGATCGGTCAAATTGACCTAACCCGTACAGAGATTTGTTAGTGAAAATAACAGATAAAATATAAAGTTTGTTTTAAGAAATGTTTGAAGACTATCTGGACATTATAAAGATTTCACGTGTGAAATTTGAAAATTTTCTGATATATATATATATATATATATATATATAATAAATTAATTTATTATTAAATAAGTAAAATTTAACTTTAGTCTATAGTTAGTAGTAGGTACAATATGACGAAAAAGAAAAAAAGTAACATAGAGAAAAAC